TTTTCATTTCAATGTGTTTGAAACAAACCCATTTTCTTCATTTTTGTTCGAATGTTTAATCCAAAACAGTTATTTATTTTGTTTGCCAAAATCCACTTTTTCAGCAAACCAGTATTTTTGCTCTGCGTTTTGGAAATTATCAAAAAGTATTAAAATATTTATTTTTGGCAAACAAACTAAAAGGTCGACAACTGTGCATGAAAAATCTCACTGTTGGAAAAAAAGGCTTTTTATTGAAAAAACCATTGAAACATTTCGACCAGCTCTCATCTCCAGTGTTTCAAGAACAAGAATCCACCATTCAAACAGCTTTGCACAGTCAGGAGTGTTTACAGAGATATGCCCACTGTTGCACCCCCATTCCAGCTATTGTAACACCCTCCCTCTAGGGTTCAGCTGGGTAAGCAGATGGCACGGGCAGTGCTGGTTGGAAAAAGTGGGTCCCCCCACCATGGCAAACTGATAAAAATGTGTGGGGGGGAATAATTTTCACTGAAATTTTCTACAGAAAGTTACACTTTTAGGCAAAAAGTTGAAAACCAAAATATTTCAGTTCAATGTAATGCTGCCATGAGGCCACATGGTACCCTGGTAGGATTACATTGAACTGAAATATTTCATGACATGAAACAACATATAACATGGTGCATTTTTCTCAGGAGGCTTGGTGGTTTCTTGATCTGACTGCATCTCCTACAGTGCACCACAGTCTCTCCTCAAGGTGAGGGGAGCCAGCTGTATCGTGGGTGTCTCTGACTATGGTGCATCATGGGAGATGTAGTCCAGCCAACCAGAATGAGGAGAGTCCCCCCCAGAGCAGAATGGGGACATGAGACACCTGGACCACAGCTCCCTTGCAGCATCCCAGCAGGCTCTACAGATTGAAATGTTTTTGGTTTAGTGCAAATATTTTGTTTTTCAGACATTGGGGGTGGTGGTAAAAAAAACAACAAAAAGAACTTTCCGCAGAAAACAGCCAATTTGTGAAAAATCTGAAGTCAGTCACATTCTGCCCCATTAAGTAACTCTGGGAGGCAAAGGGGATTTAAAATGGGTGTAAACAGCCCTTGAAAATTCCGCTGCACAAGGCATCTCCCTGGCTGTTGTGAAGGCTCGGCATGTGCTCTGCTCCTGGGCCTATGGGGAGCAGAATGTTACAGCAGCCTCAAGGCTGCTCTGACTCACACCAGGTCAGCACAAAGCCTGCCGGTCGTTCGTCTGCTCTCGGATCACGCTGTCTGGATTGAAGAGATTTGATGCACCTTACCCTACTGTACCCGTATCGTGTCCGAATCCCAGAGCTGTCGACACAGTGACATCACTGGAAACGGAACATTCATTAATCCCCAAATCTGCTCAAAGCTTGTAAGTGCAAAGGAGAACGTAATAATAAAATATATTTTAAAAAAATCCCTGAGAGGTTTAGGTCTGTAAACAGTGCCCCTCCTATAGGGGCACATCCTATGGTCCATATGCACATCCAGCACTATACAGATCAGATTCAGAGCGATGTTCTAATCCACGTCCATCTCCTCGTCCTCTTGTTCTCCCATCTCTTCCTCTTCCATCTCCCCCACATCGCTGCTCTTGGGGTCATCCTGGGGCTCTGTCGGGAGCAGGGGACTGGCTCTTTGGCCATCCGCTGCTCTGTAGTGACCCCTAACAGCATCTCCCAATGGCAGCTGCAATGTGATGTTCACAGCAAGGCACGAAGCATGGTTGAAATCTACAATCCAAGCAGAGAGCCCCATGGCTGGGTTAAAGGGCCGAGTGCAGGGAAGTTTGTGCTGCCCATGCAGGCAGACGGATGAAGGCAAAAAGATTGAACAAGGAACCAAATTGGACAACCATGTCAGGCTATGAGCTGTCTCAGTGTAGACAAACACCTCATTGCCCCTCAAGCCCAACCTGCAGCTCCCGGCTATCCCAGGCCTTGGCTCCCTCCACCATAGATTTGTCAATACTCCTCAATCCCACCTCACCCCCCTGCGGTTATGGCCCTAGGTTACCCCGGACAACTCTTGATTCTCGTCACTCCTTCTGTGGCAGATACAGGATACACAGTGGGGCGGTAAGCGGGTTCCTTTGACACTCACTTGGAGTGATCTCTATGGAGATGGAGTTCATCTGTGAGGCTCCATCACAGCCATTATGCCAATTTTATAGAAATTGCACCCGTCCTAAAGTCTCATAAATGCTTATCAAATTTCTTGCACTGCACAGGCCACAGGGGAAGTATTTTACTCAATATTTTAAGCCATCAAAAAAGTGGGGGAGGTGTGGGGTTTGGGGTTTTTGTTTTTTTTTTCTGCCCCACTAGCCAGGTATCTCCATTCCCCAGGCAGCGATTTTCAGAGCTACCTAAGGGATCTGCATGCCCAGTTCATCATGAGCCATGAAATCCTCTTGAAAATGAACTTCCCAGTGCCCCCTGGCTGGGGGTCATCTGCTGGGGCTGATCAGTGACCTCTGGAACTGGAAAGCAGGTGCCTCTAACAGAACTGATTAAGGGAGAGATACCCAGTTGGTCCCAGCAAAGGATTTGCCCCCCGCACTGCAGAGGAAGGCTAAACACCCTCTAGCTCCCTGCCAATCTGATTTGGAGGAAAATTCCTTCCCAACCCCACATATGGCAATAACTGAGACCCTGAGCATGTGACCCAGCATTAGACCCAGCCACCCAAGCTCCTGAGAGAACGAAAGCTTGGTTCCACTCCAGAGAACTGGCCCACCCCATCCAGTGTCCCACCTCCAGCCAGGGCTAACTCTGATGCTTCAGAGGATGGAAACAAACAACAAACACCGCCCCCAACCCAGAATACATGGGGCGGGGGGGGAGAGAAGTCCCTTCCTGACCCCTGCAGGTGACCAGCTGAAGCCCTGAAGCATGAGACTTGGGACTATAAGACATATGCCAGAAAAGACCCCAGAGTTGGCCAGTCCAACCCCCACCATCACAAGCAACCCTGTCATGCAAATCACACTCAAATGTGTCCAAAGCTATCTTAAAACTAATAAAGTTGTTTGCTCCACAACTCCTTTTGGAAGCTGATCCAGAACCTCCCTCCTTGGATGGTTAGAAACCTTCTAATCTCCAGCCTAAACTTCTTCTTGGCCACTTGATCCTCATTTGTTCTTGTGCCTACATTGTCTTTTATGTAGAACAGCTCTTCACCCTCCCTGGTGTCTACCCCCCAATGTATTTATGGAGAGACATCAGATCCCCTCTCAGCCTTCCTTTTGCTAGACTAAACCAGCCCAGCTCTCCCTTTCTCCTCTCATAGGACAGACCCTCCATTCCAGATGAGGGCCCCCCAGTGCCATATACAATGTCATTAATGCTTCTCTATCTCTACTGGAAAGGCCTCAGCTGATACATCCTAGAGTCACATTTGCCTTCTTCATGGGTCACATCACATTGGTGGCTCCATCATCCTGTAATCGACCAACTCATGAAGGTCTCGCCCTTCCTCTGTCTCCTCCAACTGATGAGCCCCCAGCATACAACAGAAATTCTTATGATTAGACCCTAAGTGCAGGATCTTGCACCCGGTACTATTAAATTTCATCTTTTTTCTGTTACTCCAGTCTACAAGGTCATCCAGATCTTCCTGTGTAAGATTCCGACCCTCCTCTGTACTGACCACGTTTCCCAGCTTTTTATTAAGTTTTAAGTAAGTTTAAGTAAGTTTTGTTATCACTCTCCTACTTTTCGTGTTAACACCATTAGTAAAGAGATTAATGAAGATGGATCCCAAAACCGATCCTTGAAGAACTCCATTAGGAACCTCCCTCTGGTCCCATAGTTCATCTTTCAGCCTTCTCCCCTTCAGTTGGTTCCTCACCCACCTTACAATTCTTGTGCTGATCCCCACCTTCCTTAATTTAGCTAATTATTTCCCATGTGGTACCATACCAAATGCTTTACTGAAGTCCAAGTATATTAGATCTGCTGCATTTCCCTTGTCTAAACAATCAGTTCTCGTCTCAAAGACGGAACTCGGGTTAGTCTGGCCCCATCTACCTTTGGTTACATCCCCCTTGCCATTTACCTCCATGAATTTCATCATCCTTCCCTCACAGCGTGTTCTACAGCCCCTTGCCTACTACTCAGCTAGGCTTCGATGAATGGGTCTGGAGTTGCTTGGATCACTTTTTCCCTCTTGCTTTACTAGCATCGGACACTAGATGGGGAGGAAGAGCCTCACCAGCTCTATAAAACCAGCTGGGGGAAGGCTGGGAGCAACAGGTATCAGAATAAGCTTGACCCGGGCTTCTCAAACTTTTGGTTTTGCTGGCCCCACTTTGAAAGTATTTCAGGCTATGACAACCCCCGACCCCCAAACAGTCATAGCAAGTTACTGTACGGACTCATAGAAACATACGCATGGTATTGCCACCCTTACTTCTGGGCTGCTACGGGCGGGGCACTGCCCTCAGAGCTGGGCAGCTGGAGAGGGGCAGCTGTTGTAGCCCTCTTCCCCTCCTGCCCCCCTCCCCTGAGAATATCTTTGTGATCTCTTGACCCCCCCTCCCCCCACCATAGCCTTGCAACCCCCTTTTGGGTCAGGACTCCCAGTTGGACAAATGCCGAGCTAGACAATCTCAAACCATGAACTAGTTCCCAGGCAACCCCTGCGAGATGCTCGCTCTACCTTCGGTTCCTGACCCCTCCAGGGGCCGAGTGCATCTCCCCCATCCTCAGGCAGAGCTCAGAGCAGAGTCAGCAGCAGCAGCCCCTCCCCGGCGAGAGCTCCAAGCGAAGGCAGGGGCCTGGCAGAGAGAGGAGAGGGGCACAGGCAGGTCAGCGGAGGGGTGGAAGGTGAATCCCACCCCCAGGAGATTTAACAGAGAGAGGAAAGCGGGGCTGTGAAAGCGCAGAACAGAGACACCCCCCAGCAAATCCCCTCACCCCAGACACCGAGATCCCGACCTGGGAGAGGGGTTCGCTCCCCAACACTTACTCACGACAGCTGCAGCAAGGGGTCCCTGTGGGGCGGGAGGAGCTTCCACCCCGCTCCGGCTGGCTGGATCTGGAGAGAGAGAGAGAACAGGGAGAGGAGAGTGCGGTGAGGAGTTGGTGCCCAGGGGTCCCCCTGCTCCGCTCCTAGCTCTGGACCCCCTTGCAGGGGTATATGTGGGTGTGTTCAGGGAAGGGCCGGGGGCTCTGCTCCACCAGGGCTGAGAGCGTCAGAGCAAAGCGACTGTAAAACCGCTGAGTATTTTCAATGTTGCCTCATCCTGAATGTCACTGATCCCCCAGTTTATAATGTGTCTCCCCGGCCACTTCTCTTGCTAATTTGAACTTCAGGGAACACATCAAATCTCTCTCCTGTCCCCCACAGCTGATGGGTATGGGCCACTGCCAGGGCCCTCTACACTGGGGTTAACATCTGGATCCTGGCCAAGCTGGTTCTAGTCCATGTGGCCAACCCCCAGTGACCAAAAATCACAAGTCAGAGCCCCCAAAACCATCAGATTGGTTTAAACAAGAGGAGATTTTGAAAACAATTTTGGGTTCTGTTCTTGATCTCCTGGTGGTGCAGCCTTTAGGGCTTACCTTTTCAAGCTTTTCTCCCCATCCAGGAGGGCTAGAACAAGAAAAACTTCTGACAAAAATGGCCAACCCTGCCAAAATCTTCAGAAAAAAATTAGTTCAGAATAATTGAAAACAGAACAATTTTTGGTTTTTGAATTTTCCAAGAAGACCATGAATGTTTTCTATTAAAGCCGACACTTTCCACAAAAACTTGCCTTTAATCAAACACCCAATTTTTCCTAAAAAAAAAATAAAAAAAAAGTCAATGGAACCATTTCAGTCAACTTGTTACAGCTGCTCTGAAATCCCCCATCCCTCCCACCCCAGTTCCCACAACCTCCCCCCCCAACTCCAGACCCTGCACCCATTGCACACACAGCTGCGCCCCCTGCCTGGCCATAAGGCCCCTTCCCTGTCCCCCAAAGAGCAGCTGCAGAAGATCCCAATGGGGGGATCCACACAGGGACCAGCCAGCTGCACCTGCTGCCGCTCAGCCCTGCAGGGTCCGTGTTTAGCCTCTCCCCGTCCCCGTCCCGGGCAGAGAAGTGCGGTACCTGGGGCTGTGCCAGGCCCATCCTGCCATGAAGATGCCCTGTGGGCTGCGGTGCCCCGGCAGAGGGAGAAGCTGCTGGATCCATCTGGGCTCCAGGTGAGCGCAGGGTTGGGATCAGGCCCCTCTGGGGTGGCTGAGCAGCTGGTTTGCAGGGCTGGTCACCTCCTGGCCCCATGCAGATTGTCTGAACGTGGCAAGCTTCTCTCTAAGGGGAGCTCGGACAGTTCCTCCCAGACCTGTCAGTCACGACATTGCCTCCATTGTTTAGAACCGGTTGTGGGGTCCCCGTATCAGGATTCCCCCCTTATATCCCCTCACCACGCCCTGGAGGGACCAGATGGAGGGATCTCACTTCAGTCCTTGGCCCTGGCCTGCTGGGATCCCTCAGGCACGTGGTGACATTCACTCGTGTTCATCCACTCCCCACTTACAGGATTGTGACCAGTGGTGTCTCTCCCAAGCACCCCTGTCCCAATGCCACCCCAATGGGCTCCGGAGCTGTTGCCCCTCCATTCCCCACCCAGTTCTCTGGCTTCATACCCTCGCCCATGCTCCTGGTGTCACGCCCCACAATCTGATTGGCTGAGAATTCATTCCCAGTGCTTCCAGCCCAGGGTCCTTGTCCCTCCCTTCCCCCTAGCCAGCCTGGGACAGGGGCAGCAGCTACCCCTGCAGCCCCACCAGCCGGAGCAAAACGGAGAACACGAGAGGCAAAAGCGCGTGCGTCTCCTTTTAGGGTTGTGCCTCCAGCCCAAGAACCAAATGGATTATCCAGTGGTTCTCCAACTTTTGTCCTGGTGACCCCTTCCACACTGCAAGCCTCTGAGTGCGACCCCCCCCCCGTTATACATTAAAAACCACTTTAATATATTTAACACCGTTATAATGGCTGGGGATGAAGCAGGGTTTGGGGGTGGAGGCTGACAGCTCGTGACCCCCACATAATAACCTCACGACCCCCAGTTTGAGGACCCCTGGACTACACTGAGCATGCACAGAAAGAGAGCCAGAGGGTTGAAAGGCTGCTGGGATGGACAAGACTTGTGGGGCTCCGAGAGACTGTCCCCCCCGCCACCCCGCAGCAGTGTGAATTCAGCTCCAACCAGGGGCAGGAATCTGAAATCAGTTAAACAGCAGAGACTTCATGCAGGCAGAGGTCCGGCTTGCCAGGCAGGGACAGCTCCTTCCCTTCCAGGACGTGGGCATCAGCAAAACTCAAGCATCAGAAACCTGGGAATTACAGAGTTACGGTCCATGCCCAGGCAACCTCAACTCTGCTCCCTGGAGCAGGCAATAGGCACTGGGATTATCGGCATGTACAGCAGCTGCACTCTCTGTGGGACCTGTAGCTGTACTGAAGGGTGGGGCAGGTCGAGAGAGGTGATAGGCGTTAGTTTGAGGAGTGTCCGAGCTGTGACTGGGCTACGAGGAAACCAGGGGTTGCCCCCACCCCATCAAAGCGCAGGAAGCTTTGTACCTTGAGGATCCAGTCTGCCTCATTTTGTTGCAAACTTGTGTATGTTGTCTCAGTAGCAAGGCACTGGGGGGTCTTGCCACGGGGATTGGCAGCAGTGAGGTGGGATGCCAGAGCAGGCTGTGGGTTGAATGGTGGGTAAGGGAAAGTCTACGGTTAGATGGTATCCAGTGAGTGAGTGGGAAGTGGTTGGTACATTTCACATGTGCAGTATTGTGCAGGGATTGTGCTTAGTGTTTGAGCACTGGGCAAGCGGAGGCAGCTCCTGCCCATGACAGTGAAAAGGCCGAGTGTGAGCGTATGATGGACCTGTTGGGACATCACTCAGAGGGCGGAGTTACGGCTACCTGGGCACATACCTGTATTTCCTGGCTTTTAGGTGGCTGAGATTTGCTGAACTCGATATTCTGGAACTGCTCCATTCATGGCCGTGGATATTCTCATCCCCACTGCTGGAGAGCCTGGGATATGCACCAAGCGTGCCCGGACTCAGCTCCTCACCCTGGTGTCAGCGGTGTGTTCTTGGTGCATGCTCCCAGTATGCCTGTTCTCCGCTCCACACCCACAGTGGTAGGGCTTCCCCACTTACTGGCTCACAGGGGGTGCAGGAAGAGGTGCTCAGACACCCCCAGAGGGGCAGGGACCCACAGAGCCCAGCTCACATGAGGGGGTCGAGGATCATTGGGAGGGAGGGGGCACAGGACCCTCCCTCAAAAGCAATGGCCCCCCAGAACCATGCTCACATGAGGATGGAGGGCACAGAGGGTGGGGTCAGAACTACAGAGTTGGCCAGGGCCCTCCCCCCCTCCCCCCAGATCCTGCCACTCGCACAAGGGACAGGCACACATGGGAAGTTTTAGGGAAACAGGCTCAGACTCCTCAAGGACAGGCCAAGGCCTTCCAGCTCCCAGATCCCATGGGGGTGTCAGCCATATATGGGCTGGGAGGTGCCAGATCATGGCCCACACACCCCCGCTCCTATTCTCCCCCAGTCCCCATCCCTCTCCCCCACTCCTCCCTTCTCAGTGCCCCACCCCACCTAGCCCCCAACCTCAACCCCTCTCTGCCCCTATTCCCAGCCACTCTTCCGTCCTTCTCACCCTCCGCTCCCAGCAAGCATTTGCATGTGGAATTCATTGTCATTTCAAAGACAGGGTTAGCACCTTCTGAGTATTCTGCTGTATTTGGATTAAGTTTCCCCAAAATAAATTATAATAATAATAAAAACCCTTGGAGAGAGGCAGATTAGAGCAAGATGCCTCCTTTTTTTAAGATACAGATTTCCTACCAAGGCTTGGATTTGAACTCCTAAGAGCATAAGACCTCCCACACTGGGTCAGCCCAAAGGTCCATCCAGCCCAGTGTCCTGTCTTCCGACAGTGGCCAGGGCCAGGTGCCCCAGAGGGAATGAATAGAACAGGGAATCATCAAGTGATCCATCCCCTCTTGCCCATTCCCAGCGTCTGGCAGAGGCTAGGGACACCATCCCTGCCCATCTTGGCTCATAGCCATGGATGGACCTGTTCTGCATGAATTCATGGTGCCCGCTGCGGTTCAATGGCTGGACCATTCCCCCTGGGGTCATAACTAGCTTTCAAGCTCCTTCCCCTCTCTCCCTGCACGGGCACAGCGTGATCTGCTTGGCGTGTGAGTCTCACACCGGCTCAGCAGCCGGCCAACCTAGAATCAAAGTGGTTCATAACGTGGTCATTTGATCTCCCCGAAAGGGCTGGGGGATGCCCTGCACTCTGCTGGGAGAACTCTCAGCCGCCTAAAAACAGAACAGGAGGACTTGTGGCACCTTAGAGACGAACACATTTATCTGAGCATAAGCTTTCAGGAGCTACAGCTCACTGCATCGGATGCATTTAAAACCCTGGTGCAGTGATCTCAGCCCTGGCTGTAAGGAAAGCAGGTCAACTTTAGCTGGTTGGGGGCTTTGTTTGGGGGAGGAGGGGATCTCAGAAATCCCTTGTCCAAATGGCCCTGTGGGCCCCCCCCCCCCGAGGCACACAAACTGTCAAGGCTCCAAGTCAGCGGGTGGATTTCAGAGCAGGCAGGAGATCGGTGCTTCAGGCAGAGAGCTGGCACTTTGCTAGAATAAAATCTCTTTAGCTGCCCTCCACTAAGATCCCGTCCTTCAGCGCCTCGTCCCCAGGGCTCGCTTGGGACCCCAAGTGAGGGTGAGCCCCAGACCCCCCACATGGCGGGCTGAGACACACGACGCTGCCGGGATGGCAGTTCAGAGGGGGTGTTAGGACACTTTGGCCCATCAGTTAAAAGACAAAGAAACAAAGTCTGTCCTGGGGACCAACAGAGACGTCTTCCCTCACGACAAGGAAAAACCACTTCCCCTTCCACCCCAAAACAATCCGCGCTCGTGATTTGCTGCCCAGCAGCGGAGTTCTTGTCTCGGGAGGCAACTTCAGCTCCTGCAGGTTACCCGCCTATTTTGCCCCCCTTAACCCTCCTTCCATCTGGTCAGTGCACAGCCCCCTCC